AGGGATGAGGTCTGAAAAAGAATGCCTTTTTTTCCCTGGGAAGTGAGTTGTTAATTATTCTTAAAACGATGTGGTCAGAGTTCTTGAGGACTGGACTACTTATTGCCCTTTAATTTTCAAATGTTTTTATTCATTAACAGAGTATTTTTTGTTGTCAAAATAGCTGAAGCCAATTTGTTCATGAAAGTGGGTAGAAAAAGAGGGAGAGGATGAATGGAATTTGAGGGTCCTAAACCCTTTGGCACCCAGGAGCCTCTCTTCACCATCCCCCGGAGAGTCAGCCTCTCCGGAAAGGTTACAGATGGAGTCCCTTGCTGGAGACCCTGCTTTGAAAGCCCTCTGCCACCACAGAATAAAATGCCAAGTTGTTGTCTTAGCATTCAAGGTTTTTCCCTTCTGTCTCGATCAGTTCTTCACAGACTCTCGAATATGAACTGGGGACCCCTACCTTGACCCCCATTTACTGCACTTGGGCATTCCTCACTCATCTTCAAACTTTAGTTTTCTTTCTATACAAGTGTGAGTCAGAGAGTAATTTACTGCAGCTTCAGAATGGGGGCAATTTGGCTGTATCCAGGAAGATTTAAACCCACCTCTGCATTGACTCAACAATTTTACAGAAACATTAGAACACCACCTCAAATATCAGGTTGTTGGCAAAATCGTGATGGGTTTTTCTATGGAAAAATGTGTCATGAATCTCCCGACAACCTAATATATCTATGAATGTTTCCTACGTTCATGATAGCAAATAATGAAAACACCCTGAATGTCCATCAGACAGAGAAGGAAATAAATATGCTATCACTGTGCAATGGCATATTATATTAATATTTAACAGCTTTTAAAAAGTCAATTTCCTTATTCTATGAGAGAAGGAGGGAGAGAGACAACACCCCCAATAGAGTCTTTTGGTTTTATTGCCAGAGGGCATGTGCACTTACCATAAAGAAAGAGAGAAAGAGAGAGCGGAAACTCCCCAATGGGGCCTGGTCACGTTGCCATCTCTTTGACTCCAAGTCTCCATCCCACCTGTATTTTGGGCATGCACGCCCATGCACCTGCCATGTTTTTCAAACTATCAGGGTCAGGACTGGGACTCAAACTACATTTAACCATGTGTAATCTGACTCCCTAGAGCAGGCTTCACGGCTGTGCTATGGGCCGGCTCTCCAACAGGGTCCTGATGCCATGACCCCTAGCCAGCCGTGGGTCCTGCACACATGCTGGTCAGGATACTCAGGGAGGTCTCCAGATGCAAACCTGGAACCCCCCCCTCTGGGTGAGCCTTGCAGCATGTTGTGGTTTTTACTGCTGTGCTGTCTGGCCCCCAGTGGCATATTATGTGGCCACTGCAAACCTGCTGGAGGGGTGTGTGCTGCCACAGAAAGATGGCAACCTTACACTGATAGTGCCATATGCAGGCTGCAGAGAGGCCCACGGTGTCAGCTTGCTTTTTTTTTTTCCCCCACAAAATAATGCTTCTAAGGCAGTATGTTTCAATATAAACACCAACTTTGACCAGGGCTCCCTCTATGAAGAAGGATCATAAGAGATGTGTTTCGTATTTGTATCATGTTGGGATTTTTCTACAAAGTTGCATATTGATTTCCGTGCAAATAAATAAAGCTTTTTTATTTTTTAAATTTGCCATAGGGCATGTGTGCTTGCTAGAGAGAAAGAGGCAGAGAGATAGAGAGGGGGAGGGGAAGACATCTCCCTCTAATGGGGCATGGCCATGCTGCAATCTCTCCTCCATTTCTAGACCCTTCGGGAGTGGGCATGTACACACGTGCACTGGGCATGCTTTTCAAGCCTCTGGGGCTGGGATTTGAACCATGTGGTCAGCCATAGGAGGTCTGGCTGCCTTAGCCACCGGGCCTCAGAGCTGCCCCACTCCCTGCTTTTCTGAAGGCCCAGCTTTGATTCCATCTCCCCTATAAAGCCTGCTCTGATCGTTCCTGGTTATAGAACTGTCCCCTGCTTGGAATCCTCTGGGGATGACCTCATGTACGAGTTTCAGGACAGGAGATCACATGTGACCACGTGAACGCATTCCTCCCACTGCCTCGTGCTCTGCTGTCACCTGGTCTTTTATGCTCAGCCTCCCAGCCAGGTCGTGAACTTCGTAAAGGTGAGTGGTGTCTTTTCATTTTATTCCCACAAATTCTCATTCAATGCCTTGCAATGAGCCCTTAGAAAGGACGTGTTGTCACAGAATGGCTCACTTTCCCTCCAGCCTCCCAGGGAATGCCTGCCTAGCCAGGCTGGTGGAGGGGTCCCTGCTCCTGCTGTGGTCTGCGGTTTGGATACTGGTCTGTCCCTCAAAGGTCCATGCTGTGAGATTCAGGAACCAGTGTAATGGTTAGGGGTGGTGACTGGATCCAGGACGCATCATTCTCATGAATGATTATAGATGTCTCGTGAGACTCAGTGAGTTCTAGCTCTCACAGAAAGGGTGACTTCTCCTGAGCGAGGGCTCCTATAAAAGGAAGACGGCCGTCCCCCGGTCTCTCTCTGCACGTGCCCGCCACCCTGTCTGCTTCTGTCAGCCAAGCTGGACTTGCTAGCCACCAGCACTGTGAGCCAGACAAACCTCTGTTTCTTCATTACTCTTCCAGTCTCAGGTATTTCTGTTAGCAATGCAACAGCAGGCAAAGGCAGCTCGCAAGCAGAAGCACCCACTCAACCGTCTCAGCGCCAGCTGGGTTGGAGAACCCCTGCCTTTCAATGCTGTGACCCGCGTTAGAGGGATGGGTGTTGTCTAACTTGTCGAAGGGGCACAGGAAGAAGACGAAACTAGTTTCCCAAGAGATAGCCCTGGCTCTCCTGTACACACAGGAGGGTGTAGGTGCCACACTGCTCTCCCAGGGGGCCATCAGAGTAAGTCCCTGGGGAAATGGTACCTGGGCCTTGCTCTAGGTCCTGAGGACACAGGTGAGAACCTGTGCTGGAAAATCTCTCCTCGGGTTTTCCCTATGGCCTCCAGCTCACACCCAGAGGTGAGCACCAAAGGCTTGGTTTCTTTTTTTTTTTTTTTTTGGAGAGGTTTTTGCTATAGGGTGCGTGAGCTCGGCAGACAGACAGAGACAGAGAGACAGAAAGCAGGAAATCACCCCCCAGGGGGGATGGTCATGCCGCAATCCCTTCTCCATTCTCCTCTTGGGATCTTGGGCACGCACGCACACACGCCCGGCATGAGTTTTAAGCCACTGGGTCTGGGACGCAAACTGTGGTCAACTACATGAGAGTCCAGCGACATAGCCATTACGCTAACTGCTGGTTCCCCAAGGCTTGGTTTCTTCATGCTGCAATCCATCCTCAGCCTTGGTCAGCCCTGGCTCATGGGCACACATGTGCCCAGTGTACTCAGGAAGGTTTCTGGACATGAACCCAGAACCTTCCCACATGGGCTGGCTTTAAAGAACATGGTGCTTCACTCTGTGCCACTGTCCGGCGCTCGATTCCTCACACTAGTGTCAGTCAGACTCTGCATGCGGGAGGCTCAGGGCTGGCTGCAGCAGCTGTTGGAGACCTTTCCTCCGAGGCATCTCCCTGCAGGCTCCCCACCCCGTTTTAGAGGCTGTCTCTGGGACCACTAGGGCAGTGGAGCCTTGTCTGTTCTCCCCACTCCAACCTTATAGTGAGTCCTCTTATTACTCAAGAGGCACCCAGGCCCCCATAATTTGGAACCCATCACAAAACAGCTGCATTACTCTCAGAAAGAAACAGATGGACCAAGGGAGAGGGGGGGAAATGACAACACAACGACAAACTGAACTGAACAATAAACCCCAGCGTGAGGCAGCCGTGTAAATCTGGCCCCATGGAGATAATTGAAAATCTTCACCATGGTCAACCACCAACATGTAGAGCAATGCGAGGGAGCTAAGCGGGTGGATGAAGCACTTTGTTCTGAAGGGTACAGCTAAGTGTGACGATGTTTACTCGCTTCGTCTCTGTTCTCTTTCTGGAGGCCCGCTGTACTTAGCAAACAGCATTTCATCTCTCACCCTTGACAGCTACGGGAAGGTTAGCGGCGTCTGCCTTTGTTCTGTTCTCTCTCCCTGAAGAGAGACTTCAGCAGATGTTTAGATCAGTGTGTCCAGTGAACCGGCTGCCAAGGTCTCTCGGTCTAGGGAGACTATAATCCAGGGATGGAGGCTGAGTTTAAAAGAGTCACCTTAGTCACCCAACTTAGGAGAAAGTTCTAAATCGAATCTGTCTAAAAATGCCCTCTGCTCTGTGAAACATGCAATTACACCACGTCGGGGGGCCGTGCTCTTCGGACAGGCTCATCTACACTCTTCCTCGCTAATAACCCACGCTCAAAACGCTACTGTGGAGTCTCCATTAAAACTACCATCTCTGTTTATCCCTAGTAAGATGAAATCTCCTTTATAGCCTCCAAAAGGAAGGCGGAGAGAAACTTGCTTTATCTGTAACAAGACGACCAAATTCAAAAAGCAGAGTAAGCTCTCTGAGGGCTGCACGAGCTTGTCTTTATACCCTGTGTGCCTAGCACAGAGCCTGGTACACAGTAAGCACTTAATATATGCTAACTAAGGGGGGGGCAGTAGGTGGCGTGGTGGTTAAGGTGCTGCGCTCCCACGTGGTTGACTGCAGTTTGAGTCCCAGACCTGGCAACTTGCTTTCTCACTTTCCCTCTCTCTACTTTTCTGTCTCTGATGAGCACATGTATCCTATAGCAAATTTAATAATACTAAAATATAATAATACATTTAAAAATTGAACAAATAGTTTTTTAAAATGCTAGCTAAGAAAATCCAATGGTGAGTCTTGCTACTGGCTGGTTTTATTTCGTTTCCTTTCCTTGGACTGGTCTCCGTCGGTGTTGCTTGGTCACAGCACAGATGACATTTGGGGCTGAACTGCTCTCTCTCATGGGGTCTCTCCTGTGCACTGTGGGATGTTTAGCATTTTTTTTCTGGAGGCCATAACACCTCCCCCACAACACAGCAGGTTGTGACAATCAAAAACTGTCTCCAGATGTTGCCAGATGTCCCTGGGGGCAAACTGCCTCTAAACGAGAACCACCAGTCTAGAGCCTCCTTTACTTTTCATTTACATAAATCTGTAAGTGAAGATTAAAAAAGCAAAGCATGGGTGCATGTGTGTCAGCGCAGGTGCGTGTGCGCACACACACTCTCTCCTGTGTTTCTGAACTTCCTCCACTAGAGAATTACATTCCTTTCTCCTTTACCCTCCTTTGTACTCAAGGTCTGCCTGAATATGCAGAAGTGTGCACGCCCTACGCATTTGTGCATTTGCGTCTTAGGGGGAGAACTTCCCATGGCAATGCCTCGGAGGCCAATTTTCTCTGGTCATTTCCATCTAATAATGGAAGCCAAATCTCATCAACAGCCAGAGTGAATTAGGAAGAGCACTGGACTTGACTGTTGGCCAGCACCCAAAGCCTCTCCGTTAGAGCTCCCTGAGCTCGACTTTCAGAGGGTCTCTAGGCTGGACTAGCCCTACAGGCTGGGTGCTGAGGTTTGTTCTTGCACCCCAAATCTGCCATGTCAGCCGTAAGGGCATGGCCTCCCTGCCGTGCCCTCTGCAGGCATGCCACGACTCACTGTATGGAGTTCCTCATTCCTCCGCTGGGATCTTCACCTTGAAATCCTGGCAGACCATCAAAGAGTTGGCATGAAAACCTGGCAGGAGCACGGAGCCATGTGTCAACTGCATAACAAGTACAACCTGCTCAGATTTTGGCTTCGCCCCTTTGCTGCTTTGGGGGTGCTGGTGAATGCTGTCCGTGCGGTTTGGTGCAGAGAGCTTTATGCCTCTTGTGAGGGGCAGGGTCTTGGGGGGCTGGGTCAGTGCTCTCTGCCTGAGAAACTGCACCGAGGATCATCGTTATTAGCAAACAGCATTTCATCTCTCACCCTTGACAGCTACGGGAAGGTTAGCGGTGTCTGCCTTTGTTCCGTTCTCTCTCCCTGAAGAGAGACTTCAGCAGATGTTTAGATCAGTGTGACCAATGAACCGGCTGCCAAGGTCTCTCGGTCCAGGGAGACTATAGTCCAGGGACCTGGAGGCTGTTTAAAAGAGTCATTTACTTACCCAACTTAGAGAAAGTTTTAAATCCAATCTGTCTAAAAAATTCCCTCTGCACTGATAGACATGGAGTTATACTACTTCAGGGGTCCTTTTTATTTTTAAAAAATATGTGGGGCCAGCTGGTGGTGTAGTGGTAAAATGTGACTGTCTGTGTGGCAGTCCATCATGAGAAGGTTCCAGGTTCAAGTCTGGAGACCCTGAGTACACTGGGGACACATGCTCAAGAGCCAGGACTGGGTGAGGCTGGTGCAGTCGGGGTGCTGTCTGGGGAGCTCTCTGTCTGTCTCTCTGTGTGTCTTTCTTGATCATGGAAGAAATAAAATAAATCAAACACACACACAGAATACTGCCCTGCAGAATCCTCCAGGGGATATGAGGACAAAACTTGAGGGTGAGAGGCTCACGGAATGGACACTCAGGCCGTTTCAGACAGGAAACAGCAGCACTGCAAACACGAGACGAGGGAGAGTGCTGGGTTGGGCTGGCGGCTGATCTTTAGTCCCCAGAGTGTCCTTCTGAGTCCCTGGATAGCAGTGGCGCGAGGGCCACGAGGCTCGGGGCACCCAGTGGAAAATTTCTGGCTCTGGTCACCTTAATGAGAGAGGCATTCTTGACTCTATGGCACGGAGGTTTCCAGGGAGAAATGGAAAGGGAAAGTGTTTCAAACCTCCTCGGCCTGGGTGGCAGCGTGTGTGACAGTAGCTGGGCGGAGAGGAGTGACCCAGATAACCCTGGTCTGGATTCATCAGCGTCAAAACCATCTCAGTACGGATTCAGCCCACCAGCGCTCCGGGTTCCTCCCAGAAAATGGGCTCCCATTTACGACGAGACACGGTCAACTTACAAAGATGGATTAGAAGAAAAAGCCCGAAAAGCCAGACGCCTCAGATACATATTTTTTAAATGAACTCTGATTCACAATTGCAGGCTTAATGGCAACAAATTTGTCTTCTTTGATAACACTCCCTCTGATACTGTTGCTGTTGGAGGGAAAAAAAAAAAGAAACAAAGCCCCTCGTCTTCACTCATTTAGTCAACTGCTGAGGCCAGGTGCCACAGTAGGTGATGAGGAACAGGATAAAGAAGACCCAGCTGGCTCGGTGGTGCAGCGCAGCACTGTTCAAACCACGCTGGATCCGTAGGGTGGATCCAGGGCTCGCTTCCCCAGCCGACATATCCATAACAGACATGCACACCCGTGATCCTGGCTGGCTGGGAGGATGGAGTGGGGATGGTTGTGTAAGACCTATTGAGGGTGCTTGTCTGTCTGTTTCTGTCTTTCACTCATGATTGAAATAAATATAAAAAGATACAGCTTGGTACCAGCAGATGGCATAGTGGTTACATTGCTAGACTCTCATGTAGTCGACAGCGGTTCAAGTTCTGAACCCCGTGGCTTAAACTCATGCAGGGTGTGTGTGTGTGTGCGCACGTGCCCAAAATCCTGGGAGGAGAATGGAGGAGATGGGATTGTAGCATGGCCATCCCCCCATGGGGGGCAGCAATTTCTCATTCTCTGTCTCTCTGTCTCTCCAGCAAGCACATGCGCTCTATAGCAAAAATTTGTGAAGCTTGGAATCTGGTTATGGGCTGGCATGGCTGGGGCGATCTAGAAGCCAAGTCATAGTTCATTGGCGGGCGGTGGGGATGGAACCCAGGAAAGCTCCCCAAGGGAAAGTCATATTTGATCCCTAAAGACCGGCAGGTGGGGAGTTTACATAGAGAAAGACACAGCCAGTTTTCACTTTAGAGGGAAACTCGTGGGGGGAGGAGTGTTAAGTATGTACAGTGTGCTAGGTACAAGTGTATTTGGAAGTGGCTGCCATCAGAATTGGCTGTTACTCTTCACCTCAGCCCCTGGCATGTCCATGGTAGACGCAACAATCAAAGTGGCCTAGGAAATTTGTCCCTCCCTTCTGGGGGGTTCCGGCTGCAGTCTGGATTCTGGGTGTCGGATGGCAGTGGGGTTGGGGGTCACGAGGGAGCCCTGTGGGGCACACTTTCCCTAGGACTTGCCAGCAGGTGCCTACCGATGCCTTGCAGCCTTGCTGGCCTAACCGCCAGGCCTGTGGAGGAAGAAAGCTGTCAGTTACTAGGCCAGCAGGCCCTCTGGGAAGTGGTACTGGACAGTGTGCAGGGCTGGGACTTACAGGGCCCCTCTGTCCCACACCCATGAAGTAACCTGTCCCAAGGCCCAGGATGGGCAAGCGGTGGCTGTGGGTGTGCAAGCCAAATTCAGAGTCCCGTTCATCTCCTACAGCCCCTTCCAGGGTTTCCCAGCCCTGGCGCTGTTCACATTTGGGCCTGATCACCACTGTGAGGGGTGCCTGGTGCTTTATAGGGTGTTTAGCAGCATCCCTGGCCTCGGCCCACTCCACGCTGCCAGCACTTCTCTGAGTGGTGGAAACCAGAAATCTCTCTGGATGTTGCCCAAGCGTCCTTGTGGGGCAAGATCACCCCCCAGCTGAGGACGGTGCTAGAGGTGTGTTTCCACCCCATTTAACCCATCCCCATCCCCTCTCGTTCTGTTTCCATTGCATCCCCTCTGACTCGACCTCCCGGCAGAACTCGGCACGGCTGATCCCTCTCTTCCTCGTGACACCA